CTGAGTTTTATACATTATATATGGTAGTCTTACTGAGTGTTATACATTATATATGGTAGTCTAACTGAGTGTTATACATTATATATGATAGTCTAATTGAGTGTTATACATTACATATGGTAGTCTTACTGAGTTTATACATTATATATGGTAGTCTTACTGAGTGTTATACATTATATATTGTAGTCTAACTGGGTGATATACATTATATATGGTAGTCGAACTGAGTGTTATACATTATATATGTTAGTCTAACTGAGTGTTATACATCATATATGATAGTCTAATTGAGTCCTATAAATTACATATGGTAGTCCAAGTGTTATATGTTACATATGATAGTCTTACTGAGTGGAATACATTACATATGATATTCTAGCTGAGTGTTATTCATTATATATTGTAGTCTTACTGAGAGTTATACATTACATATGATATTCTAGCTGAGTGTTATTCATTATATATGATAGTCAAGCTGAGTGTTATACATTAGTGTTATACATTATATATTGTAGTCTAACTGGGTGATATACATTATATATGGTAGTCGAACTGAGTGTTATACATCATATATGATAGTCTAATTGTGTGTTATACATTACATATGGTAGTCCGAGTGTAATATGTTACATATGATAGGCTAGCTTAGTGTTATACATTATATATTGTAGTCTAACTGAGTGTTATACATCATATATGATAGTCTAATAGAGTATTATACATTATATATTGTAGTCTAACTGGGTGATATACATTATATATGGTAGTCCTAGTGTTATATGTTACATATGATAGGCTAGCTTAGTGTTATACATTACATGTGGTAGTCCGAGTGTTATAGGTTACATATGATAGTCTAGCTGAGTGTTATTCATTATATATGATAGTCTAGCTGAGTGTTATACATTAGTGTTATACATTATATATTGTAGTCTAACTGAGCGTTATACATTACATATGGTAGTCTGAGTGTTATACATTACATATGGTAGTCTTACTGAGTGTTATACATTACATATGGTAGTCCGAGTGTTATATATTACATATGATAGTCTTACTGAGTGTTATACATTACATATGGTAGTCTTACTGAGTGTTAGACATTATATATTGTAGTCTTACTGAGTGTTATACATTACATATGGTAGTCCAAGTGTTATATGTTACATATGATAGTCTAGCTGAGTGGTATACATTACATATGGTAGTCTAGCTTAGTGTTATACATTATATATGATGGTATAGCCAGACCATCGGACGTACACCGTGATTATTATAGGGCACATGCATTTCTGATGCGGGGCCCTAACTCTTGACTCTCTGATCCACAAGCGTTCATAAATATAACACATATATAAACATATTGAGATATGTGACACGGCAGTGATTTGAAAAACTAGGCTAACAGTTAGACAAATGAATTCCAAAATATAAATCTTGACTATATGATTGTACAATTGTTCGTACTATACAACCGCTGCAGTTTCGGCAAAATGATAGTCCTTACTCCTGCTGTATTTCATTGTAAGATGCAAAATATATTCGGACTCCTGCATAATCGGGGATTTTCATTGTGTATTCTGCTAAGGCGGTATTCGTTTGCTACCCCCTTTCACGATTGCATCAATAGGGTTTCTTTTCTTTGTACCTTTTTACATGACCTTAGCACATTAGCTGTTACGAAGACGTATAAACTCCTAAGCAACCAGACTACAGATATTCTGATTGTTTTCAATAAATATCAGTCGTATGGATTAATGTATATGCTAATTGTATTGATTGGAGGCACGATAGTCCAGTGGTAGGACACCGAACTCGACACCGAAGAATTGCAGGTTCGAGTCACGACATGACACTGTGTTGTATCTTTGAGCAAGATACGTTACCCCGCTGGTTTCTGTCTACTCAGCTGTAAATGAGTACGTGGATGGGCAATGCTAGAATTGTTGAATGCTACCTGTGAGCACCTAAATGCCTGTTTGCTCCCCAGGGAGTTGAGAAAGATATTGGCTGGATGCAAAGGCCCTATAACCACCTATGATAATTTGTGAACTGCTTTGAGACGACTTATGAACCAGGTTGTGATAAAGCAGTATATAAGAACCTCGAATTATTATTATTATTGTATAAGTTGTATATCTATGCAATGTAAAGCGCTTTAGAGTGGCTTTTTCTATCTAGACAGGGCGCTATATCAGATATTGTATGTCATTATCAAATTATGTATATTATTCCCTACTCTGTCGTTTTGGCGGCATCTCCCTAGATACCCGCCCTAAAATAATCTTAGATATTGCAACGACCTTAAACAACGATCAAACAAACCATCGCACTGAACGTTGACAGGAATTATACATACATTATCAAAGGGATGTATGCGTTGTTTACTAACCTATTTCAGTAGCCGTCGTCAGTAAAGATCAAACATTTGTTCAAAAGAATACATATCACTGTAATATGCATACAAGGACAATAAGACTGCATTTCGTTGCTTTCGTTTAAGAATTTTCGTGTGTCGATGTTTTATCTGCTAGCACGTTTGAAAAGAAATACAAACAGCGTGAGAAAGTCCGGCACGACCACCCAGCTAATCACAACTGACATAATTATACATGCCACGCCCCCCATGACCATACTAGAGGGTCTTGACTCGTACACGCTAACAAGTTTACGTCGATAGGTCGAGGTATTGTTCTTATTCACCGATAGCGCCGCCTTCAGCTGTATAATGACTTCTAGTAGTTCGGCGTGACTCGGCTGTGTGACATTTGTACGTGTTCTTGTACAACAATCACAGGAAACATTGGCGGTGATGGCGTCTGTGGTGGTAGGTTTCTCAGCAGTGGTGGTAGGTTTTTCGGTAGTGGTGGTAGGTTTCTCGGTAGTAGTGGTAGGTTTCTCCGCTGGCCTCGCTGTCACGGAATTTGTCGATTGGGTTGTGGTCGAGTTCACTGAAAATTTTAATTGATAACATTAAAAATTCGTTAACTCAACATTCGGCAAATTTATCCTTCAAGTGAAACAAGATCTTGTTATGTGGGTCGAATCCTGAGATGATGTTTTGGATATAAGTCACACCCTAGAAGCGTGATGCCTTCATGAGGACAGATTTCGTCACTATGAAACTGACACCAAAGTAAAGCAGGGCAAACGGACTAGCATTAACCGCAGTTTGTACGGACTCTACAGCGTTGTCTGTGTATGGCATTCACAATATTTTGTTCATCGTTTGCCCTGGTGAGAAAGACAATGGATTCTGTTTCATCGCCGGGACATTCCATATGCATAAAACAATTAGCATTGATGACAATGGAACCAACTGCTTCACCTGTTGTCAGTTCAATGTGACCAGGCGGAATGCTTAGCTGGTAGTCTCCGGCATAGAGTTTCAGGTAGATAGCACTACAATATCGGCATCAGATTCGCACTATCGCAAAGCAACAATTGCAACAACAAACCCTGTTTTCAGCACATAAGTACACGTTGTTTGGTTTTATTTAACGCCTATTAACATCTAAGGTAAGTTTAGGACGTGCCTCCATGTGTGTAATGTATGCCATGCCATGCCAAATGCATCTAGCACAGCATTCCACCTGGTAGCATACTACTGACAACAGGTGAACCATATGTTGCGATAGCCCTAAGTGAAGGTATTCACAGTTGAAGACCTACTTATTGGAAACGTTTAGTAATTGTTGACAACATGTTAAGTTTAATCGTTACCCTGCGCAAAAGTTAACTTTTCAAAATGCAATCAAACGATTAATATCTGCAACATTAAATAATTCAAACCTCACCTTTGACACATAGTGCTACTGTCTCGTAGTTATAACAGTGGGATGTACCCAATCCGTTCTCAGTTAATCTCACGCAGAACTGTTTAGCACAATTATTTGGTTCACCAGGAGACCAATTGACCCAACCTAGTGGATTCCCATTTGTCCATTTGTAGTTCTTGCAGTCGTAGGAATCCGCTCGTAGGCCGACCCATGCACTAATATAGAGACTGAAACAGTAATGACCATGTAAGTGTGGGTTTGGTTCTATTTTGTTAAAATGTCCTATCATAAGCCAAGGTAATTTAATGAGATGATTCCATGTGTGTAATGTATATGTGCTGGAGGCGGAGTGTGTTGATGTATTCGCCTCCTTACCATAGCGCGGGTCTGGTGCCGACCCACTGTAATACTTTATAACATGAAATGTTCTTTGTATATAGACATTCGTGGTTTTTTGTGGAGGCTACGAAATCAAGAAAATAAACAGAACGAATATTTCATGTTGTACAGTACCATGCCGAAGGCAACACGCACAATTGGTTGGTCATTTAAGGACGTGTCTCCATGTGTGATGTGTATGCATGAATATGTGTATGTGCTGGATATTTAATATGTATCAAAAGATGGGCGTAGCCTTTCATTTCAAAGAATCATAAGACAACAATCTTACTGAATAGACAGCATGACCAAAGCCTGTATGTATTGTTTGGTGGTATCCACTGTAGCTAATATGCCACCATTCTGTTTGCACTGGGAATCAGCTCCGGATGCCGTCTTGAACCCTTCGCCGAAGAAGAAGTTTTCCATGTGGTCATATCCTGTTAAATAGCAAATAAAATGAGTGCGGTTATAGGTATTTAGACATCTGTTAACAGAAACCTTTTTAATCCAATATTACGATTACGTTATGACATAACTATGACAGATATGACTATGAAGAAAGGAATTGCTTCAGCGACATTTTGTTTCACAACTGTAATGTTCACCAATAGTATGCCAAAAAGACATGATTCATATGACAGACGGTTCTATTTTTATGGTTTGTATGGGAGGTAACTTATTTTTCAAATGGTTGGTTGGTTGTAAGGATTTAACGTCCTACAACAAAACGGCCGTTTAAGGACGAGCCTCCATGTGTGATGTGTGTTGTTTATGCGTGCATTTGTACCGGAAGCAGTGTGTGTTTGTGTATTTGCCTCAATATGAAAATTGACAAGAGGCCCAATGGGCCTGAATTGCTCACCTGGTATTAATCGCACACTTGTAATCTTAAAAATGGACTATAATACAGCTACAGACAGAATATCAGTGTTTGATTCATAAGAACCTATTAGAAGATTTAAACATATGACGCCTGTGACCTTGAATGTCGAACTAGGAATTTAGGTTGAACAGAGTTTATAGTCTTCCAAGCCAGCATGCTTCTGGCAAAATATCATTACCCTGGACCTTTTGGTTATACAGAACAAGTCATTTAAAGATTTAAACACAAATTGACCACTGTGACCTTGAATATTCGCGAAGGTCATTAATTTGAACAAACTTGGTAGTCCTTCATCCATACATGTAAATGGCCAAATAGCATCACCCTTGTCCCTTTGCTTATTGAGAAGAAGCCGTTCAAAGGTTTTAAACATATTTGACCCCTGTGGCATTGGATATATGTCAGGGTCATTCATTTGAACAAACTTGGTAGTACTTCTTCAAAATATGTTACTGACCAAATATCATTATGCTAGGCCTCTAGGTTATTCAGAAGAAATTGTTTAATGGTTTTAAACATATTTGACCCATGTGACCTTGAATATAAGTAAAGGTCATTTATTTGAACAAACTTGGTAGCCCTTCATGCCAGCACGCTACTGGCCAAATATAATTATCATAGGCTTCTTGGTTATTCAGAGGAAGTTGTTTAAAGGTTTTAAACATTTTTTACCCCTGTGACTTCGAAATTGGATGAAGGTCATTCATTTGAACAAAAGTGGTAGCCGTTTGTTGCAGCATGCTACTAACCAAAAAGCATCATCCTATGCCTCTTGATTATTGAGAAGACGTTGTTTAAAAGTTTTAAACGTATTTGACAATTGTGACCTTGAATATTTGTCAAGGTCATTCATTTGAACAAACTTGGTAGCTCTTTATCCCACCATGCTACTAGCCAAATATCATAAACCTAGGCCTCTTGGTTTTTTAGAAGAAGTTATTTAAGGGTTTCAAACATATTTTGCCCATGTGACCTTGAATATGAGCAAAAGTAATTCATTTGAATATACTTGGTAGCCCTTCATCACATCATGCTACTGGCCAAATAGCATCATCCTAAGCCTTTTCGTTATTCAGCAGAAGCTGTTTAAAGGTTTTAAACATATTTGACCCCTGTGACCTTGAATATTTGTCAAGGTAATTCATTTGAACAAACTTGGTAGCCCTTCATCCTAGCATATTATTGGCAAAATATCATTATCCTCGGCCCTCTTAGTTATTCAGAAGAAGTTGTTCATATAAAGTTAAGACAATTGACCCCTGTGACCTCGAAAATGGATGAAGGTAATTCATTTGAACAAAATTGGTAGCCCTTTATCCCAGCCTGCTACTAGCTAAATATCATCACCCTGGGCATTTTGGTTATTCAGAAGAAGTTGTTTCAAATTGTTAGCATATTTGACCCCGTGACTTTGAAAATAGGTGAACGTCATTTATTTGAACAAACTTGGTAGCATTTCATCCCAAAATTCTTCACCCTAGGCCTCTTGGTTATTAAGAAGAAGTTGTTTAAAGTAAAATATTGACGCCGGACGACGGACGGACGACGGACGCCCACCACGGCATAAGCTCACTTGGTCCTTCGGGCCAGGTGAGCTAGAAAGTGCGAAAATGGATATTACCTGAATCCCTGCAAACAACAAAATCACCATCAGCCTGCTTCTGCTGATGTCACCTGGTTTAAATATAGCGATATATCATGACTCACCGTATTCACAGATTGCCTCATGGTAATCGTCACAAACACTGGTGAGCCATCCATTTCTTTGTTGGTTCCATACCACACATTTTGTTACTCCACATTCAGAAGTTTGTATGAAGTTTTCCCAACCTACTGCCGTACCATCGACCCATGTGAGATTATCACAACTGGTTGTGGGCGTGATCAGACCGATCCAATAGTGTGTATCCACACTTACGTTGGCCCTATAAAGTCAATGTTAATAGCTTAAAACAGGTTAAAGATTAAACGTTCGACCATACATAAATGTTATGTACTAGCATATCAGCGTTAGTGACCTCCTATGAGCCCCACTCGGGGGACAGTCCCTTATTGAGTATAACTTCCTATCCTCAGCATCAAAGCAATCCACTTTAAGTTTCAGCGAAAAGTCCATTGAACATTTTAAACTTTGTGAACCCTTATGAACCCGCCCTCATCCTCCGTGGAGGTGTCAGCATCATTTTAGTGATCACCAAGCTTCATCACAAGAGGCCCGTGTGCCTTTATCGGCCACATCAGTTGTAATACAATTGTAATCTGTGTTGCTGTGATGTGACAAAAACAAATAGTGCTACAATAAAAAAAACTTTTTGACGGTTGATTAATTGTCGAAATCATGTTGGGAAGTGACGTATGATCAGTTTCAAATGTTAACATGCACCACTGAGACCAAGGTGATTTATTGTGTAATTTGAGAACAATCTATCCAGTACTTTTTTTCAGAAAAAGCAACAACAAACCATAACGATCAAATTCAAGATGGCCGCCTGTAGGCCATTTTGTTTATTCGATCAATTTCAAAAGTAAACATGCCTAACTGTAGACTAAGAAAAACATACAGATCAAATTTAAGAAAGATTTCTACTGTACGTTCTATACAAAATACCTACCATTTCTGCGATAATTAGTCTTTTCAGTACATAATGCATACGTGACCTTTGAACTTTGACCTCATGACCTTGTAAGTTTGTCACAATGTAGCCTGCATTAGGTGTATACAAATATCTGAGTGTTAGACGAGTAGATTGCATTTGTGCCTGCAATATTTCAATGTATATGTGTATACAAAATACCTACAGTTTTCGAGATAATTAGCCATTTCAGTAACGTAATTCATGTGTGACCTTTGACCCCAAGACCACGGAAAATTGTCAGTAGAGTTCATGCAGATTGCATTAATGCCTACAATATTACACTGATATGTGTATACAAACTACCTACCGTTTCCGAGAAAATGAGCCATTTCAGTTACGTAATGTACCGTCTACAGAAGTGAAAGGCCATAACTCTGGTAAATATTGAAGGAACATAATTGCGTTCGGGGAGACACAAGTGCATGTGAGAGATAACATGTGTGCAAAGTTTCATCTAAAATCCATGCATAAACTTGGGAGGAGTAGGAGGTATACTATTTTGTCTACAGACAGACGGAGTGATTCCAGAATACCCCACTAACTTCGTCGCGTGGGGTATAACTATAGTATCTTTTACCCCCTCCCCTGATTGAATGGTTGATCAGAGGATGATGAAATCCACACATTTGGTAAGGCACCGTAAGTCCTTTACACCCATGAAGAGTATTTGATTCCAGCATAGCTGGGTCTGAAGAAGACAACTTTCGACTCCGCCACTATGGCCACGAGGGGTCAGCCCAATCTCGGGAATAGAAATTGACCCCAACTTCGGGTTAATGATTACCACCAATTTTCAGCAAACTCTTGACAGAAACGTTTTGAAAAAATATGATTTTATGTCAGGTTAGTGAAAATCCGCCCAAAGTGTCTCAGAAAATTAGATTCTGATTCCCAAATCCGGCTGATGATTACCACCAAGTTCCATCAAAATCTGGCAGTTCTTGAAGAGAGGTTAACAAATTTATTGTTTCAGGATTCGCAGTTACTGAGCCTCCCCGCCAAATGGTCAGTCCATTACTGAGTATAAATTCTTATCCTCACCATCTAAAGATCATTACTGAAATCTTTTGAAGGTTGTCACTCTGTGATCCCTTAAGGCCGCAACCCTCAGGAGTCAGCATTTCTTTCGTAACGACTCTGATCACCAATGTCATTGTGCAGCATATGAGTGGGCGACTAGTTACCCAAATTAAAAATGGTGGATGTCGAATCGTGCGGGAAATTGCATGTCTCTGTTTTCATACTTCTCCCTTTTCAAAGATAGCTTTGTATCCATCAGGGATTAAACTCTCCCTTTTCAAAGATAGCTTTGTATTCATCAGGGATTAGTTCGGTATACACTTAAAATCTGAAGCGATCTTCATTTGTAAATATAAACAGGTAAGCAACAGCAGCTCCCATTTGAACGATTATTATGCGGGTAAATTTCAATAGCAATGTGCGTAAACGAAACGTTTTGTTTGATTGTTTTTGATGTCATAGTAACAGCTATTGTCCTTTATGGACGTGCCAGATTTTGGTGGCGCAGAAAAGCCGGAGTACCCGGGGGAAACCACTGACCTGCAGCCAGCACCTGGCGACTGCCTCACGTAGGCCTCGAACGCGCGACCAAGTGGTGGGAGCTAGTGATAGCAGAATGTCGGGCGCCTTAAACACTCGGGCCTGAGAGAGGTGAGCATTATTATTATTGTTATTAGTATTAATACTTAACGGCCCATCAACACAGGATAGGTCACAAGGGCCACACAATGGTCGACAAAAAACAAATGCTGAATCAAATTTTAACGGTGTAAAAAGGGAAGAAAAGAAAAGAGAAAGGACAAAGGGAAAGGAAAAGGGACATAAACAATATCTACACTTTATAGATGGGACTCTGAGGATTTATCACAGCCAGACAATTCCAGAGGAATGCACAAAGGGCTGGCCCGAAGGGGTGAGTCACTGAGAGGTGGGTAACTGACCAAATACGGCTTGTCTGTTTTAAAGCCTCTCGTGGTTTTATTTTAGTAATATCAACGGTAATATACAAATTTAATCACACTATGCCAAAAACTTCTTTAGACCAAATTCTATTTATATACATCCATTTGAACGGAAGACAGATTTTTAAAAATTTGCATACAATTTCCCTATTGGGTTCCACTTCTTCGTCAATACACAATTTAATTATCTTTGCCAAATGATGATCTAGACCACATTTTGTCAAAATACACCGGACAATGGACGGACGCCACGCCACAGTTTAAGCTCACCGGTCTTTCAGACTAGGTGAGCTAAAACCAAACACCAAATATACCCGGAGTGATCCCGTATTTTCAAAGTGATCTGGTCCTGTTTCTTCTGATCATCGATAACGACAAGTCGACCGCCAATCCACGAACACATCATGTAGCCGACACGCCACGGCATGATTCTCGAGGTAATAAAGAGACTGGAGTTATGAAGGAATTCACCTGAAATCAAAACCAACCAACCATATATATGTTATGATACAGTGTTCTATATAATATTACATAACCTGTTTCATTTCGAAGCTTTAAGATGTTTTGTACATTGGAAAGATGTTCAATAGTGACGTAGTCTGTTGTATATTCAGAGCCCCTGGGTTTGTTTCCTTTTTTATCATGCTTCAGAAATTTTCATTACAATCGAACATTTTGGGTTAAACGTTCTCGCAACAGCCACGATCATAAGAGGACGAATGCCTAGGAAGAGACCAACGGGAAGAGAAAGTAGATAGAAAAGAAAGAAGACAGAAAAGATAGGAAACGAAAACGATGTGTTGCAATGGACCGAGGGCAGAAGATAGTATTTAGTCTCTTCCACGTCTCCTTCGTGGAAGACACTGAAGAAGACCCACGATTCTGTAGGGGCCCTTATCAGTCGTCGATTACGATGCACATACTGTGGGATACAGGAGGTATATTCTTGATTTCTTCAAGGTCCCCTCAAAATAAGAAACCAGCCCCCGATTCTGCAGGAGGCACACTAATAACCGACGCTCCAGCCATTACGTTCGTGGTCTCAAGAGATACAAGTAAATAATAATGATAGGATTTGGACATATTAAAGATGATTATTATGCGCATAAGTGTCCCTTGATTCTGTGTAACTTTCCCGGTTCTGATGCTGGTTCGATAACGCAGATCTGATGCCGATTTAAATGGGCTACCTTCACTAAATACACCGTGCGGTAATAGCGCATACCACGTGCGCACACCGTCCGTAGAAATGTGCGATTTAACAATTGATGTCATTGTTGTTCTATAAAACGTGAACATGTGTGCGATAATGTAAGATCGTTTGATTGATGTTACCCGAATGACAATAATCCGGAAGGCTCGAGTGAAATATTGTTCATCGTTGACGTTATCGCATAATCCGATTGATCTAGTTCTGTAAGTTTTCTTATTATTCAACGCATGTTAGGGTGAGAAGGGCATAACTCGGACAGTTTCAATTAAATCAATAAGAACTCCTTATCTCCCTTTAAATGTTATTTTAAGCGTCTGTGTGAATTGATTTATATTAGAATTATAAATTCGGCACCAGCAAAACAATAACATATATAACCATGATTTATCTGGTGCCGTTATTGCAGTACTACGGATCTCTAATCAAAATGGATACACTTTTAACTTGGTAGGATGATTTTGTTTAGTTTTATTAAGTTAAACGGCCTAGTAACAGCTAAGATCATTTAAAGACGTGCCTCCATGTGTGCAATATATGGTACGACATATCCTGCCATTAATGCATACATTACACACGCGGTACCACGTATTTATATGACTTTAACTGTTGATAACGTGGATCTGATGCCGAATTTGTAGTACTACCTCACTGACACACCACGCCGCAGGCATCCAGCAAGGTACCTAGCCCAGTCACATTATACTTTTTTGCTTAATATACATTTTGCTGACAACGGGTGAACGAAATATTGCCATTACCCTAAATGCTGAATGTTAAGCAGGGAATAAAAACTACCATTTTGCCCTAGTGTATTTTTGTCGATGAATATAATCAGTTAACTGTATGAGGAATACCGTTGAAACATGAATGAAACAGGTTATTTTTCATAAATACATATCTGTGCTTGTGCGTGTGATTGTGTGTGCTACCCTCATAGTTACATTTTATATATGGAACACCATCCTTGTTGTCTTGCATGTGATCAACCATTTACAGTCAAACACTGTGATTGAATGAGCTGCTTTCAAACAAATACGTGACAGATTTTATAATGTACCCTCTATGAAACGTTTATTTTATACTGTTTCTGTGCAATCAATATAGGATTATTTACATTCAATTAATCTCTATAATAAGACATGACATATTTTATAACCAATTTGTTTGCTATTTATATATTTTGAAATCTTTTACACATTTTAACCTTTTGTTTCAGGTTTTGATGTATCCATTTTTTGCGAATGTCTATTTTTACATTGCTGTTTGTCCCTCAATGAATCAAATTGTCGATGGGCCGTGAAATAATACAATACAACACAATACAATACATGGTGACGGAACCCTTTGCTTCACCACCTGGGTGGACATTTAACATTTAATTAAAAGTAAGGCGCTATGAATGAAAGGTAATTAGTAGTGGAGTATAGATATTCTAAACATTGCAATGGATGCAGCAATAAGTTTTTGTCGCCTTCGTGTCCCAAAGTGAAGTGTACAAATGGACAGGATGAACGTTTAAATTATATGCGGAATGCAATCATAAATGTTTATACTAGTACATCATATTTAGAAAATTCATTGAAAGGAAAGATTTTCCTTATTAAATGTGTCAATGTGAAATCAATCTCTTAATCTATTGAGTGTATCTGTCCAATACTTCTACACGTACCATACTCACAGGCGGCTATTTTGTTCTCTGAGCATAATCCTGTTCGGAACAGTCCATATTTCAGAAAAATGCATTGCTTACTAGCACAGTCCCTAGGCTGATTATGTGACAAGTCCCATTTACTCCAATTCAATGGTTTACCATCGGTCCACACATAATCAGTACAGTCGTTTTTCTCGGTAAACAGGCCGATGTATATATTGTTGGTTAATCTACAATATATCAATAAATTTGAAAACAATGTACCGTTTACTAGCACAGTCCGTAGGCTGGTTATTAGACAAATCTCATTTACTTCAATTCAATGGTTTACTACTGGTCCAGACATATTCAGTACAGTCTTTTTCCGTGGAAGACAGGTATATCCCGTTTTTTAATCTACGATATATCAATAAATTTGAAGACACAGTTGTTAACTGCTAACGAAGGAAATCATTCTAAAATTTTATGTGTTTAAGGATGTACCGTCAATAGTACTTCTGTAAGTAGCAAGTAATCAAATTTAAAACAAACATCTTTTCACCCTAACAAACGTTTTACATGATAAGCAGGGTATAACAAGTACAAGTTTGTTTAGAACTTTGGTAAGTCCCAACTTGAGTTTATAAGTTTATATGATCAAACCAAGAATTGAGACAGGCTAAAAGACGCCCGATTTATTGTGAATTCTATGCAATTTAGAATAGTGAAACCAGTCCTACTCAAACCAAATCACTTTCCGCAATGGAATAGGCTATATATCATTATATGACAAAAAGTAATTTGTCAGATTGAATTTGAGTGAATGAATTTCTCGACGATTACGTAATCATGTGGTTCTAAAAGGTCATGGAGCCACATAAACTGTAACAAATGAATAGATAGCGTCAACAGTTGTTTGGCGCTTTCCAAGACAGATGAAACACGAATGCCAAAGGTTGGAATAACAACAGTTGGCTTATTTTGATAAACAGTTTCATAATTTTGATAAAATACGAGTGATGGGTTGGATTTGAAGGATTTGAAGGACTTGGTTTTTAACTTAATAGCACAGTGCTATGACAAGTTCTCTCTACGATGATGTAAGATGGGTTATTTTCTCTCATATAGAGACTCGCATAAGGTGTGGTTATAAAAGCTCGAAGAGCAAGTCTTAGATCGGTATCAAAAATTTAAAATATGACTTTCTTGTGTATTTATAATCCAATTTAAACATTTTAAGTAGTCTCTATCGAACTTTGATAAATAATACGTTTACAAATTGTGAGATAAAGTTCCCTTGCATACATACAGAACTGATTTCTTACCCTCCTTTTTACACCGTCGAACTTTTGCTTCTGTATGAGGTGTATCGGCGTAGTAAATGTTTTATATAATACACAGTGATATACTGATTTTGATATATAGAGTGGTCCGGCTCATCAATGAAAATCGTTATAAAAATGTACTTACATCAAACTTTTGTGGAACTGTCTGTCCATTGCCATGACAAAGTCGTACTTGGTCTGGGAGTCTATTGTCAGCATTCGCCCATAGTTCACCTCACAGAAGTTCGTCCCAGCAGACCAATCACCTCCATCCGTGAAGAAGAATGGCGATTTCATAGCCAAAATACACCCTACAATCGGAATATAACATAAAAAACACCAAGTTTTTATATCACATTGTGTACTTTCCCTGTTTGGAAAGAGAGGGAAACAAGTTTTTGCTCCGTGGCCGCGCAGTCCTGATATATCTCCTAAATGATGCCATTGTGTTTTTTTATAATGCCTTGAAAAAAATAAGGTCGATAACGTACCTAAGTCGGTCATCTATTCTGACTCCATTTCTGTTCTCCAGAGCCTTCGCAACAAAACTTTAAAGAAAATTTCAATCAGTAAAATACTAACATTTTTTTGATAGTATTGCCTCAAACTGTCAAATTACGTCTTGTTGGGTTCGCGGGCATGTGGGAATACCGGGTAATGAAAAGGAAGATCCCGCCGCGAAAGCAGCTTTTTTGCTATCAACTGTTGATTTTAATCTTCATTTTACATGTTAATAACTATTTTGTAAGATCAAAGTGGCATTATAATTACTTAAGCTACATTTGAATGCTTCCGCGTAAAATGTTTTCCGTCCTTACAAAGAAGACAACGTAGTTAACAACATCAAATATTTAACTACATTATGTAGGAGGCATGGTAGTCTAGTGGTAGGACACTGGGCTCGTGACCGAAGGGTTGCGGGTTCAAGTCACGACACGACATTGTATATGGTTCTTTACTCTGCTTGTTCCAGTCTACTCAGCTGTACGTGGTTTGGTTTGGTTTGGTTTAGTATTGTTTAAAGTCCTATCAACAGTCATGGTAATTTAAGGACGGCCTCCCCGGTATGCAAGATGCATGCGTGTAGTGTATGCGCGTGTGTTTCGGGAGGCAGCGATATGTTCGTGTTTGTCTCCTTGTGATAGCGCGGAACTGATGCCGACTTTATAGTGCTTCCTCACTGAAATATACTGCCGAAGGCACCCAACAGGACACCCCACCCGGTCACATTATACTGACAACGGCGAACCTGTCGTCCAACTCCTAAATTGCTGAGCGTTAAGCAGGGGTAGAAACTACCATTTTTACAGACTCTGGTATGTCTCGGCCAGGAGACAGAACCCATCGCCTTCCTCAAAGGGGCGAACGCTCAACTAAAGGCCAAAAGTGAGGGATTGTCAAGGAAGACATTAGACAGAGTCCCGTGAGGGATCCTACCAAAACTGCCCGTCGGGCAGTGCTAGAAATGTTGAATGCTAGCTGTGAGCGCCGAAATTGCAGCACCGGCTGTATGCTCCCCAGGTAGTTGAGAAAGATATTGGCTGGTTGCAAAACGACCTATGACCAAGGATAATAATTTGTGAACCGCTTTGAGACGAACAAGGTTGCGATAAAGCGGTATATAAGAACCTCGAATTAGTAATATTATTATTATATCTACATCAAAACAATACATACAACGACAACACAGGATATGTTTAATGCAGGTTTTCAATTTCGAGCCTTTGACGCGCGGGTGAATACGTTGCTGTGTAAAATCCACGAAATGTCTCGTAAAATTACCAGACAGATCGGACGAGATAGAAAGATCTAGCATAGCATATGACGTGGGCTATATCTGTCTGAGTTGCGGGAAATTATTGTGTAAAATTAACTGATGAAATAAAATGTATGTCTTTATGAACACGAGACTGGTGGAAACTATTCAACACTTTTACTAATTTTCCAACAAACAAAAATCGAATATACCAACATTGACGCATGCTAATATAAACAAGTAGTAATTTTAATGGGAGACCATTACATAATTCCCCCAACCTGTCCCTATTGAATTGGCAGTCCCGTAATACACGTATATACCAATGTTCATTAAAATCTAACAATATTTAAATTTCGACCAATCAGAAGCCTCCGTGCCGTGTGATTGCTATGGCAACAATCTGAAAATAAAGACTTGAATGCACAACTACATATGCTCATTATTTATAATGTTCATCAATATATGCCTTGCGTTAAAGATGTTATATGTATGTTACATATTTCTAAAGCTTCAAGCCGGATAATATAAGCTAAAGAATTATTAAGGAAGCAAAAGTAGAAAGTAGAAATAAAAATCTGACTAAATTATTTAACAAATCTTTACACTTTGGTAAATATCGTTCGATTTGGAAAGTTGCAAATATAACACCAGTTTATGAAAAAGTTTTTTTGCAATTAATTAGTTTCTAGACATTATCAATGATATTAGGAAGGCATTGGAGGCGAGTAAAGAAATGATAACTGTATTCTGTGACATAAGAAAAGCATTTGACCGCGTTTGGCATAAGGGTCTTATTTATCAATTAAAAGCTGCAGGTATTTCAGGAAAATTATTAGCTTCGTGTGAAAAAAATGTATCCAACAGGAGTCAAAAGGTTTTAAATTCTTCAGATTATGAATAAGCGGGTTTGCCACAGGGTTCAATATTAGGTCTTTTGTTTTGTAAGTCCACCTACAACTTCATCAAATCACCCTGCGTCCATGGTCCGTCCGTCATTCCGTCCGTCCTTCACCAATTCTAGTTGGCGCTATTTCTCAGAAAGAACTAAAGGGGTCTTTCTCAAATTTCACATGAACGTTCCCCATGATACCTGGTTATGCATATCTTATTTTGGGACTGATCGCAAAACCAAAATGGCCGACAGCCAGCCATCTTGAATTTGAGAATGAAAGTTTGTTAACGCTACTACCATAACGAATTGGTTGGATATTTCTCAAATTTCACTTGAAGGTTCCTCATGATCCCTAGTTATGCATATCGCTTTTTGGGACTGATCACAAAACCAGAATCGCCGACAGTCAGCCATCTTGTATTTGAAGATGACATTTTGGTAGCGTTGTTTCTTAGAATGTTCAGGAGGGGTATTTCTTAAATTTCAAATGAAGGTTCCCAATGGTTCCTATTTCCGCATTTCGAATTGTTGGGATTATTGGAAAACAAAGATGACCGGCAGGTGATCGTTTTGAATTTGGGAGTAAACATTGTGTAGCCCTATTGCCGAAAAAGTATTGGAGGGATCTTTCTTAAATTTAACATGAAGATTCCTCGTGTTCTTAGTTATGTATATCTAATTATATCGGCCGACCATCTTGTTAAAGATATAAGTTTGTTATCGCTATTGCTCAGATTTTACTGGAGGAATAATTCTCAAATTTGATATGTAGATTCCCCTTGGTCCTGAGTTGTGCATGTTAACTTTTGAGGTTGATCAAAAGATTGATTAAGATGGCGGATAGGCAAACTGATCAAACAGATAAGAAAAAAGAAGAAAAAAGATCAAAAAAGAATCTCTTGTCTTTTATATAAAAATTATATTGTAACTGGCATTGATTGTAAAATTAAAAATATTTGATGATGATACTGCATTATACATAATGGCTAACAATCCTGCAACTACTGTTACTACTTTAAATAATTATCTTTCTAAAAAACTGATATGGGCAGATAAATGGTTAGTGAAATTCAACCATGATAAAACCGAATCACTGTTGATGAGTAGAAACATTATACCAGTTAAAAGCATTCCAATAACTATGAATAACATTGATGTTGCTACAGTAAATTATCACAAACATTTAGGAGTATGGGTGTCCGATAATAGTGCATGGAATATTCACATTGTCTACATATTAACGAAAATATCACCAAGATTAGCTAAGAAATAGCACTGATAGAAATTCTCTCCAAACTCCAATAGTTTGCTTTTATTAGACCTATTCTAGAATCGTCTGTTGTGGTTTCGGATAATATACCTAGCGATCTCTGTCAAAGCTTACAAAATATTCAAATTGAAGCTGCCAGAATAGTAGCACGTGCAACAAAACTTTCAAATATTAATCTATAACATAAAGATGTGGGCTGGGAAAACTAGATAAAAGACGTTAAAATCATAACAAGAGGCCCTGTATCGCTCACCTGGATAATAAAGCAACCATGGAAAATTATTCTTATTGAATAACATCCCTCAAATGGTACAGAAGAGGGATTTTAAATATTTAAACCTCAAATTTCCCAATTGGGCCCCTCAACCCTCAGTACCCAGGGGGCTACATCCACCGTTTATACTTAATTGAGTTCCCTTGGCCAAAGGATGCTCCAGGTTAAATTGAGATAAACTCCTTTAATAGTAAAGAAGGATTTTAAAAATTGTACCTTTATTTCCCCCATTGGGTCCCAAAACTTTGCCCCAGTTTAACACCTACCGTTAATACAAAATTGAGTACCCTTGGTCAAAGGATGCTCCAGGCTAAATTGGGATAAACCCCCTTAATCCCTTAATGGTAGAAGGATTTAAAAGGTTTAATTCCTTTCCCCCTATTCAGCCTCACCCATCTTCCCCCAAGGGGGCAACACCAATCGTTTATACAAAATTGAGTTATTTTGGCCAAAGGATGCTCCAGGCTTAATTGAGATAAAATCCCTTAATTTCTACGGTAGAAAAAGGATTTCAGGGTTTGTTACCTCTATTTCCCCCATTGGGCCCCACAACTTTGCCCCAAAATTTAAAACCTACTGTTAATACAAAATGAAGTACCCTTGGCCAAAGGATACCCCAGGCTAATTCTGTCCTCAGGCCGGGACAAAGTCCTTAAAAGTGGTAGTTGATATACCCTGCTTAATGTTAAGTATTAAGGGGAGTGGCAACAACTGGTTCACCCATTGCCAGTTTAATGTGACCGGGCAGAATGCTGTGGTTGGCGCCTTCGGCATGGCATTTCAGTGAGATAACACTATAACGTCGGCATCATATCCGCGCTATCACAAGGAGACAATTCCACCAGCATACCTTGTCTCCCGCATACACATACGCAAGATCGCATACACTACACACATGGAGGCACGTCCTTAGCTGTAAATAGGACGTTAAACAAAATTAAACTAAACCTAACTTAACCCAAGCATGCTCAAGGCAAAATTGGGACGAAATGTTCCAATAACTATGGTGCAAAAAGAATTTTAAAGAATTACCTCCTTTTTCCCTTTTCAGCCCCACCCCTCTGCCCTCAGAGGCCCACACCCACCGTTTATACATAATTGAGGCCCATTGGCAAA